GCAGTCTGGGAGCCTTTATTTTCCAGCAGTAGCTAGTTTCCCTAGTTTCCAAAGGGGAAATTGCTGTTTTAAAAGAATTTTGCAACCATATAATTATCGTAATATATGTACAGGTGATATTGTAGCATATTTATGTTAAAGTTTAACATGATTTAAGTCAATAATTGACCTAGAAATGAGCAACGTTACAGTAATCCTTAAATGAGTATGTACTTTAACAATGTCAGCTTGGCTAATGGGTAGGAGTGTGATGAAGCTGGTGCCCAGGCCACCATGCAGCCCTGGCTCCAGCTTGCTCTTTTCCTGAAGCGCTGTGTTTGGGGAAATGCAGGTGGGGATTTAAGGATTTAGGAATGCACAGGCGTCACACAGTAAGGTCAGGAAATGGTGCTGCTGACTGCGGGCGGGTGGTCCTGTGATGGGGCAGCAGGGTGTCTGCAGCTGCTGGCAGCCAGTCCCCTTCTGTCCCTGTTGCTTTCCATCGCAGGGCAACTTGGACAGAGCCATGTTCCACATGAGATATCACAAAATAGACTCAAAAATCATGACATCTAGCTCATCTCTCCAGGCACCTACTCATCTGTGTGTTAGGAGAAATGTGGTCCTGCACATGTTACCGCTGTGGGACACCAGCTCGGAGCTGGGCTGACTAACCATGGCACATCTGCCCTTTGCTCCTTGCCTGGCTGTGGTCTGTGCCGTGCAGAGCAGCCCCCATGGAGCAGAGCAGAGTTTATGTGACTGGTTCCGTGGGGCAGCTCCAGGCCTGCAGAAGGGCCAGCACAGAGGGTATGGGCACCATGAGAGGAGGAGAGCTTATAGTGGAAAGTCACTGGCATCTCCTCACCTGAAGGAAGCCTTTCCCAGGGTCCCTTCTGCTGCCATAAAGTAACTGGAAAAGTGTTGCCTTCCCAGGTGGGTAGCCATGGTAATACATCTTGAACAGTTTCAGCAAGGGAAAACACAGAAGAAGAAATCACTCTTCATCATCTGCTGAAGCTTTTGCGCTTTTCCCCATCCTTGTGTTCCCCATGTCCTGTCTTTAAATGAGTGTAGCTCTTACAATTAGGCCCAGGCCGTGGTCCTGTTAGAGAAAGCGATGATTAGGGCGATCCTTATTATGAAGCAGATGACCATTAGAGGAGGAATTGGATGTATTCTGTCTTATTTCCAGTGAACCAGTAGGTCAGCTTTACCCAGGTGGCTCTCACTATAAAATGTACAGGGCGAGCTTGGGGTATTGTTGTCTGCACAAATGCTGGGGCAGCTCCATGGTGATAGAAATGGTTATAACTGCCAAAGCTGATTCCACCTTCGTGTCTGTAACATAATGATCTAACTCAAACCATTTCTGCATGAGGCAGAACCTTTCTTTTTAAGGTTATTTAATTTTAAAAGTTTAAATGTAAACTGAAGCTTCTTTGGTATTGACTCTGGTTAATCGCCCAATACATTAAGAGACCAAATGTTCACCTAAAGGAAAATTAATGGGCTAGTTCATGGCACAAAGGCGGTTCAAAGGGAGCAAAGAAGGCAGGACTACATCCACCACCTGTAGTTAGTCATGCTTGCCTGATACTTTCACTTTCCACCACTTTGTTTCCTTCTTTGCTGGTGTGGAAAAGTGGGAGCTTCCTTATGAGGGAGAAATTTGATTTTTCTTGGATTTTTTTTCCGTTGTGGTTTTAATTTTACTTTAATCTTTCAGTCATTTATTAAAATACGCCGTCATGTTTTACGACCCACCTGGTCCCAGACCACGCTGATCTGGAGAGCCTTGTTTCCCTGACAGCTGGCTGATCACCAACACAATCTGATGGGGACTGGGCGACTCAATGGAAGGACCTTGACCTGCTGCCAGCCGCTCTTTGTTGGGCGCTTTCAGGCCGAGGCCTCCCCCAAAGATGAAGGTGATTTCTATTTGCCAAAGTGGAGAGACAACAGGAGGAAGAATAAAGAGAATCTTCTAAGCAGTCAGCTGAACTTGTTCAGACTGATACCAGCCTGCAGCATTCAGACGGCAGCTAACCCAAGGTTTCCCTAACCTTGGCAGAAGTGCGGGAAATAGTTGTAGGAGGATGAAGTGTTCTTGAACCGTTTATCCAATGTATCAAGCACAAGAAGGCTTTTCTGCAATATTAAGCATGTGCCTCTCTTTTCTTCCCCTTTAAAGAAACTTTTTATTGTAGATTATAAAAGGGGGAAAAAAAATCAGTCTCTGTCTGCTTGTGGACCCCTGTGCTGCTTCTACATTACCCAAGGACAAAGATGCAAATCAGGACCTCCCCAGTATAATAGCATTTATATGGCAAATTTCTTGCTGAAGTCTTACAGTAAAAGCAAAAGGTTAAAAGAAATAGCGGTACTGACGTGTCGTTTTAAACAGAAAGAAAAAAAAAATTAACCACATTCTTAAAAACATCAGGCAGAGCTTCCCTGGAAGCATCAAAAACAGCATTCCAGATAAAAGCAGCATGATGTGAAAAGACCTGATCAGCAACAGATTGATGTCTGGGCTTGGGGACTAATGTAAGAACTTAAAGACTTGGCTAGAGAATATATCTTGAGAAGCACAAACATATAAGAGGATGCCAAACCATGAAAGGCTTCTTTTGCACTGAGAATTCAGAAAACGGCGTGTTGACAAGCGGAGAAGCCAATGCTGCAAGCAAAGCACATAGGGTGATGAATAAACTCAGCCTTTAGGAGCCCAGGATGAGATCTAGAAAGGGACCAACCTATTCAGGCACAGCCTTAAGAGTTTACACCCAGCTTTTAGGTGCCGCCAAGCCTCAGACCTATCCACCCAGCTGCCACCCAGTGCTGCCATTGCTGCATCCCACCAACTAGGGTGGCTGGGTTTGATGCCACTTGGCTGCCTCAAAGCTTTGCTCCATCTCAGCATGGCCAGGAGGTATCTTGAAGCATGCCTGCTGGCTCATTCCAGGGCAGGCAGAACCAAAGGCCACACCTCGTGTCACACTGTATGTAACATGCAGAAAATACTTCTCCCTGACTCCTCCTGCACCTGATAGTTGTCCTTCTCAATTCAGAGTGTTGGCTGGTGCTTGGTCTTAAGGTGAGAATGGAAACTCCCAGGAGACTCCATGTAGCCCTTCTCCTGCTGTCCTTCCTGTGGCACAGAGGGTTGCGGTGAGTGCTTGCCTCAGCCGAGGCCATCTCCATGACTGCCTCGGAGCATGGCTGGCTGTAAACCTCCAAGCAACAGGCAAGGCAAAGGGACAGATGTGGTTCATGTGGTTCTTCAACACGAGACCTGGTCACCTTTTATGAACTGGAGGAGTCCCTCCGGGATGCTGGTAGCAAAGCAGCATTTCTCTATTGTGAGAATAAATCACAGTCTTCCTCCAGCTGAATTTAAAATTGTAAAGTTCAATAACAAGCCCAGAAATACACATAAAAAGTGGGCCAGCTACAAAAAAGCAGTTATTAAGAAGCTAAATAGATCTAAGCTAATGTGCAGTCTGATTTTCAATGGATAAACTCAGTTTAAATGCTCTCTTCTATAGAGAATAGATGTATCTGCAAAAACATAGGATGTGCATATTGTAATCAAGTGGAGAGGAAAAAAATAAACTCTTTATCTAAAAGAGCAACTGAAGAGTGCAATCCAAAGCAGAGAACTCGGATGACTTTGTCTTTTTGCATTTAGCAATCCTACCACGCACCAACCCAGACTAAACCCTGCCTTTCTCTGGTGTGGAAGAGATCTTGAAAGTCCTCTAAACTCGTTGACTCACTCCACTTTTGCCAGGCTTCCCACGTAAGCATGCAGATTGAAATACAGTCACAGCTCAAGATGTGCTCCTGCTATTGTCAGTCTCTGGGAGGCTGACCACCTCCTGGGGAGTGCCATTAAGTACTGCAGCACCTCTGCCTCCTGCACGGCCATTAGTGACTGTGCAGCTGATGGCTCTCATCTGTGTTCGGCTGGCAGGCATGGTACCACCAAACTTGAGCTCACTTATCACAATGGCAATCAAGTTGGAATTTAATTATCTGCTGGAGAGAAGCCCTGACAGCTGTGGCGTAGGTTTTTCACTGTAGATGTTGCCTTGATCACAAGAAAAATATCAAGGGCTGGTGAGAAAAGCCATGTTCTAAAAGCATCTCTGCCTGGGTTAGACCACTGCCTACCACAGAGGTACGTGCGATTATCTCGAAGCTGTTTATTGGCTGTTGTGTCAGATTGTGGCTCAAGTTTGCCTTTACTGAAAGTTGTCCTCAGGAATCCTTTCACTCCACCAGAAGTAACTTTTCTTTTCCAAGGCTGAGGCTGGGGGTGCAATCTGCTCACTGCATTGGCCCTGGTGTTGCTAGAGGGAAGCGCAGGCTCTGCTACCTGCCTGCCAGAGCGCCTGCTGATGGCAGTGCACTAGCAGCAGCTGCAGTGAGGTGAGACCTCCCTGTTTCCTTACAGTGATGGCTATCATTAAAGGACCCACACTGGGAGCCAGAAGTCACTCCCTTTGACATTTCACACTTTTGTATCAACTCATGAAAGTCGCTAAAATCAAACTGGGTTTGGCCACCATGGCCCATTTTAAAATCTCTCAGCAGTGATGATGGGCATTGCCTCGTGGGTAAAAATAGGTGTTTTTCCTAAACTGCAAAGCTTAATTGCTTTTTCTTTCTCCTGAGAAATGTAACACCACAGCTAAACCAATGGGAGAGAGGTGCAGAAGTAGGGAAGATGAAAATTAGGCTGGGCTTTGGTGTTACATGTCAACAAAGTGTGATGTGTCTCTGTCAGGATGACCTGGCACATTTCTCCATGATGATCCCTCTCAGGTTCCCTCATGTAACCACTGGTTGTTTTCCACAGGGCTTTGTAAAGCACCATCCTGCAGTTAATCACATTGCTCTGAGGTGCACGCTTTGGCAAGCACTGGCCTTCGCCTACCATTTATCTTTTCTCTTTCCCAGCATTAGTGCTGTTGCTCCCAGCACCAGCCTGGGAGGAGCAGCATTCTGACCTTGATTTGAAGAGGGGTGAAGCCTTCTTTGCCTTCAAAGATGCTTTTCTGTTCATGACCTTCCTGCTTGGAGCCTTTCTCTGTCTGCAGGCCACCAGGAGATGCAAGCATTGATGCAAGCTGGTGATTCCCAGGCTTCCTGGGCTGCACCTGGAGGTTAGACACACAACATACGCGTTGCTCCTCTTGCAGTCTAGGTATTTATTCTTTACTCATTTAGGTTTCCTTTGGCATAGAGGAGCTCATGCTAAAACAAAAAATTAAAAAGCATCCCTTCTGATACATTGCATCTTATGTGTTATTGCAGAAGCCAGAGTAACGTGCAGCTTAGTGGATGGCGAGGGTCTGCCAGATGCTGAACTGCCACCTACCCTTGAGTAGTGGGTGGCACGTCTGCATGGTCCTGTCCTGTGCAGCAAGGGCAATGTGAGCACCAGCCTTTGAGAGCCTGGGGAAAGCCTTGCTCACCCAAAAAGCTCATTCACTGCAATCTGTTTCATGCATTAACAGCCCTTGCTGACTGCAATTAGGATTCGGGGAAACATTTGGAAATTCTGGAGTTAAAAGTCTGTAAGTTGCATGAAGATAATACTTAATAAACATGAATACATGGTAGGACTTTTTTTTTCCCATCTTCTTTATATGACTTTTAGACTTACAAGCTTTTATCTTATTTTATGAGGCCATGTGAAATAAATTAAATGTAACACAAGATGCTGTTAAAAAAGATTTTATGACATCAAGAACTGGTTCTATATTAGGACCAGATCCTGCATAGACTGATGCATGTGAATAATTTTGCTCTCATAGATAAGCTATTGAACCAAGCGTGGCCAACCATTTAAATTTTCAGAATCGGGCCCTCATTTTGGAAACTCTTATCATTGTTAAATCAATGCGAAAGTGAAATCTGTCTCCTCTCAAAAGGAAATTGCCAAGACTTTCTACACCAAGATTTGGGATCTGTAGAAAATGAAGTCTTTTTATTTTTTTCTTCCCTCCAATAATCTGTTCAGTGAACAAGCTGTGAAAAATAGTTCTATATTTTTTCCATGTGATGCAGCAGACGGTAAATTTCCATTTAAAAGAATGATCAGAGTAGCTGCTGGCACTGAACTCTGTTGTCTTAGTCAAATCTACTTACAAAGAGTTTACAGCAATACAATAGTTTATTATTTCACTCAACCAGAAATCAGATGAAAAAGGCAAAGGGGAAGCCTGAAGTAGGTTCATGGTCAGAATTCTTTTCTTTTTTAACATCATCTTTTTTAAATGCAGGAGTTGAGATCAGTAGTTTTATGTGTAAGGAGGAGAATATTTCTTTTCACCTCTACTTTTGTGTGCCATGAAATAATCAGACTTCACACTTCTATAGCGCCTTTCTTCTGGGGATCTGAAAGCACTTTACAAACATTAATTAAAGTCTCACAACACCCATGCGGAGGTAAAGCAGCATTGTTTGTGCATCTAATGCAGAATGCTTAACCTGATTCTTTAAGTACTATACAAGGACTACAGTAAAATAATGGAATATCCAAAGCAAATTAATCTAACTGAATTGCTAGGAGCGTATGTATATACGTGCATGTGTTCATGTGCATGACTGCAGCTGTATGTATATTGCTGTTTGCCTTAGATTACACTACCTCTGCCCGATATATTCCATCCATTGTTGTCTCAGGCGATGCTGTGAGTGCTGCCTCTCTCTGCATGGTCTCTCAGTTCCATATATAACTTGATTTCTTCTTGGAAACTGGGTAATCTCTCATCACTGATAAGGCTGGAACTACTTTTAGAAGTTAAAAAGCTTGAAAAGCAAAATGAACCCCAAAATTTCCTCTGCCTGCGTCCCACTCTCTCTTGCAATTTAAAAATGCTTCTGGGTCACCTGCTTTGGTTTGGTTTCTTAATCCTCATCATGTCTCCTTTCTGTAAACCTTGCTTTCTTCATTTGTCTGACGTCATCTCTAAGATCTTCAGCACAGAGATAGCACTTTTATCTCTGTGAAGTGTCACGCAAAGTTGTGGTGGTACATAAATATTTAATAGTATTAGCGATGGGGATTAGAGTCCTGGAGGAGCATGTTTCCTCACTTGCAGAGGCAGAACATATAATTTGTGCTGTCTCTGCCACGGTGAGAGCTTCTCTGCTTCCATTTTTCAGTTGCCACTGCCGTGCTCTTGCTGAGGCTGTTGTGATGCACAGCTCCTGGGTGGGAATGGTTTGGCTGGGTGAAGACTGCTCCTTCAGTTTGGTGATCTGCATGAGACTGAAAGTAAATCCCCTATAAGTGGGTTTCCCTTTTTTTCTTGTTAGTGACATGAAAATGTGGTGAAGCATTCCAACCTTCTGACACCTGTCCTATGGTTGTAACTATCTTTATTTGGAAAAGAAAATCAAATGTACCTTTAAGTAATCTCACAATCACTTTGGGGTGAGAACTTAAAACTTCTCATTAACAGAAAAGCGGAACAGACACATGCAGACTTTCCCAAGCGAGTTCTTTTGGGACAGTCCTGGTTATGTCTGGTGATGCCTGCTCCAGCCCTGCAGAAGGATGTGACCTGGATGGAGGCAGGGAGCACGTGTGGGGTCCTCTCCCTGCAGCTGTGGGGTTTAACTCACAGCTAAACCCTTGCAGCACTTCTATCATACAAGAGCCCTTCACAAAAAATGTTTTCCTTTAGCTCAAGGTAAGCTTCATCTCTCAAGGGCCCTTCAGGAGTGAAGTACTGGGAGAAATCCACTTTTTATTTTGTATTTCTATAATAATCTTTTTGCCACCGTGCAGAGGAGCAATGTCAACAGCGTGCTGTGAGCAGAAGCCCAGCTGCTGCCGGATGGGGACATCCCAGTGGTGCCCCAATGGGACAGCTGTGAGCTAGATGTGACAGGAGCCAGGGGGCTTGGAAGCAGTGCGGTGGGACACGAGCCGTTGGCATGCAGCTCATCTGTCTTCTGACCTCCCCTTTCTGAGGAGTCCAAACAGCAAGTCAGGCTGGCTCTCTGGCCAGATCCCTTTTCTGAGAGGGAGTTTATCGTCATACCTCTCTGAAAGCTAAAGTTCTCTAATGGCTGTAGCAAATAATTTGAAATAATTGAGGCAAATATACACATCCAGTTGCCAAGCACAACATTTTTCTTATTCATTTACAACTTCATAGACTTCAGCATATATTTTCAGTCTTCACTAATTGCACAGCTGATCATTCTTTATGACTTTCTGTCTTCACTTCACTGGCTGCACCCTCTTAGCGTGATCATAGTCTTTATTTTGTTTAACTTATGCTAAAGCAAAATACGAAACTAAGCCACAGGAGGCACATAAAACACGTCATTGTACAGTCCGCTACGTTTTATAAAACCATTTTACAACAGGAGCCATCCACCCGTTCTGTTCAGTGGAGTAAATGTGATCAAACCGCGTTTGAAGGGCTGCGCTCATCTTTACACTGATTATTTTCTACCCTCATTGCAGAGCACAGGCTGCAGCTAACATCTCGTTGATGTACAATTAAACGGGTGAGCCCCGCCGCCTCTAGCAATTGCTGCACTTCATTACTTACCTTGCTGGCTGAGCAGCACGGTGCCACGCTCTGGGCAGAGTCTGGCTGCAACGGGACACATCCTCTGGCATGGGGCAGAGGGAGGAGACTCCATTCCCCAGGCGAGGCCAGGTGTCCGGGTCAGAGCTGGTGCTGCCAGCACCGTTCCAATAGCGTTGGGGGATGCCAGAGCTGCAGTGGTGAAGTGCCTGTCCAAAGAAGGCAACAATCAAATACGGGACAACTTTCTGGCTATTTCTGTAGCTCTTCTCTGCTTCCCCAGCACACCTCCATAGCGGAGGCAACAAATAAACTCAATACACACACAAGAAAAAAAAAAAAAAGACAAAAAAAACAACCAACCAATCAAACCACTTTAAAAAAAGCCCCCAAACCCAAAGCCACTGGGCACAAGAACGGCAGGCTGCATTCTGCCTGCTGCCAGCAGCCAGGCTGGAAGCACGTGGGCACAGGGCAGGGTGAGCCATGGGGCTCTGCCCCGACCCCAGCCTGCCGCCCGCCAGGCTCACTCCACTCCTTTTCCCTCTCCCTTTTTTTTTGGACATCGTGTTTAACACTTGCACAATCTGGTGAAATTACAAGACCGGGAGGACAGGGGGAGAAGCCAGTCTGTTTAAAAAATAAAAAAGAGGACATGATTACTTTGCCGAAGCCGTACTTTATATTTTATCTTCCAAAAGAGACAAAGGGAATAAATACTTAAAACCCAGTGGTGACGACAGTGAAGCAATCATGCAGGCGCTGGATACCTTTGTCTCGGGAAGGCATGTAGTCATTTTTACATGTCTGCCACTGCGTGTCAAACCTTTCTTTTCTTCCCCTTTCCATTTTGGATGGCCAAACTGATTATCTAAAATAGAAAATTAGCACACAATGGCTTTACTCTGTGATACCCCTTATGCAACTAATGGGCAAAGCTTGTTAATTGGTTGTAAATGCCAGCAGGTTGCCAAGATAATACTTCAGAAATAAGCGGGTATTCTGATAATTACAGCAATCTTCATCTATAAAAGCTTAAGTAGATGAAGTACTGGCTGGCTTAAAACCAAGATTTATCCCGCTGCACTCACATTAAAAGAAAAAATAAGATGAAAACAATAATGTAGCAAAACAATTATATAGCAGGAAGCGTTGTAGGTTTTAGAGATTGTGAAAACTCAGAAAGTAAAACAGTGCTGTAATAACCAGTTATGGAAAAATAGGCCATTTACATTTGTGTATAATTAAATAGTAGGCTATGCAATTTCACTTTTTAAAGTAAACTGCCTTTTCCTTTTTTTATAGGGCAACGTAGCCATAATTGCTGCATTAAAGCTTTAATGAAAGAAAAAAGCAGCAGATCAAGATGACATGTAACATCCACATTTGTACCGTGGCGTTCTGCTTGTTTAGTAATGGGAAGCTACTGAGGAGATTAAAATTGCAGAATTCTTCCTAGGTTTTTTTCCCCCCTAAAATTGCTATAGGAAGATCATTCAAAGTCTAAAATACATACAATTTATTTTTTTACCTTCAATCCACAAGGATTTAATGGCTTTCCTAACTCTGAAAGTGTTTTAAGAAATACTTTCTTGTGAATGGGGGTATTATTCCAGCTCATCACCATTATCAGAAGTAAGTGGCGCAAACTTAAAGAGGAGAGGGCTCACCTCATGTTTTAGAATATTACTGCAAATGCTGCACATCATTACTTTTTAACTTAGCGGCGCTTTTCAGCTTTCCTGTCAGAATTATCAACAAGTTGATACATAATATTGTTATTTGGAGTTTTGATATGTCTCCTGTTAGCTGTTACACCAAGGCTGTGCTCAGCCATAGCAGAGCTTCAGGATGAGGTTGAAGCCCTTGAGGCGAACGTTGGCTCCAGAGTTAAGATAGGAGCTCTTACGGACGGCATAGAAAGCCGTGGGGTTCTTTTCTGTGAGATTTGGCCATGGGCACGTTGTCCCAGCATTGAATTGGATGGAGACACCTTCTTTGTGTGGTCACACACCATCAGCCTAAAGACTTTCGCCAAACCTCACGGTTACCAAAAAGAAGAGCCCATTGGGCAGCCAGGGCGACGTGCTGGTGGGCTCCCTCTTCAATCTGGGCACAGTGCGTCCTCGGGGCAGCTCTTAGTGCAGCGGACCTGTCCCTGACAGTGCATAATACATGCTGCCAGGGTGCCTTCGTGGGCTCCTTAATGGATCCGCTCCCTTATCCTCCAGGAGCTAAATAAACAGGAGACTTTCTAGGCCGGCGTGTATTTCCATTTATGCTTTAAAAATTCATGAGCATAGGTTTCATCTGATGGTGTAGTTACTATGGTAATTGTTTATTAATCTGGAGGAGCGTGGTAATTACCACAGTTCAGTTTATATAACTCAGACCTGGAGCTGAAGTGCGGGTATGATTTCTTTACGCATCCATCTTTTAGACACTTTTTTCAACTCTTTTTTTTTTATAACAGAATATGCATTTTCCCCTCTCAGTTCTACTTTTATCCAAGTGCATACGTTTCTGGAAGTGTAGAGAGTGTAAAAAATGAGAGAGAAAAGCTTGCTTGGAGTTGGCAGGCCAGGATAGCCAGGAAAAAAAATGTGCAGAGCTAAGCAGCAGGTGCTTCGGGGAAATTTTTTAATTAAAAAAATGAAATTGTTGCTTTATGCTTTCCCCGGAGAACAAACTCCTTCCCAGCAGGGCAGCCAGGGGCAGAAGGCAGGCGGAGGGCACCAAAGACAACACAGCCTGGCTCCGTGCCTTGTCCTGCACAGAGGTGATGCGCTGCAGCCTCACCAAGGTGCTGGCATGCCAAAGGGACATGCCTAGATGCATGCTTGTGAAACTTCATCTAAAAACAGAGTTTGCACGTGCAAAAATTGATCACTGTTGGCTTTTTCAGATAGGCACCACCAATCCCTTTGCTAGGCAGTGCCTTTACAGTGAACGTTTCAGTGGTGCTCACCAGAAACCTACAAAATGTTACCACTATTTTTTGAGAAACTTTTTTCATTACCCAGTAGTTCTTTTCAGAGTGAAAATTTTTGACCACAGTAATATATTTCCCTGTCTCTACTCTCATTTACAGAAGAGTAATTGCTGTCAGCCTGCTCCATAACAAAACCACTGGAAGACCCAGCTCCCCACTTACCCAGCACCCCTCTGCGCCCGTCCCAGCCTCACTCTTCAGCCGGCAGTGCCTGGCCCTGGCTTGACAAGATTCACATTATTTATATGGAAGAGGCACAGGATGCCATCTCCCCGCTCGCTCTGCCTGCATAAATTGTGCGTGTTTATTATTCATTGTAACACAGCACATTCTCTGTTTCTGTGTCACTTGTCACTAATCACTTATGCATCTGATGTGCAGATCCAGAGCCGGTTCTCAAGCATTCTTGGCTTTGAAACATAAGATATGCATGGGTAAGAGTTTATCCCACCCCCAAAATAACAACTTTGATACATTTTCAAAAGGGAAAGTGCATATGTTACAGTACTCAGGAGCAGCAATAACCAAACTAGCTGAGAAGTGACATGGACTTGGGTTATTTTCTTCTTTTTTTTTTCTTCTCTTTTTTTTTGGGTTTCTCTTTAGTATTTCATGAAAGTGTGTAAAAATCTTAACATTTGAATGCCACACACTTCATTCTGCCTACGAGATAAAGGACATTTCTCTAAAAGAAACATACGCTCCTTGTTCCATGTTTTGATTTCTCATACAGCTTGTCATAATGCATTTACATTTTGTCCATACATTCGGGTTTTTCAGTCGGAGCTGTGCTTTTGAGGAAGGGATGCAAACTCTTCTTCTCCAGGGGCTGCTACTTGTGCGGGATGGGTGCTTTTCTGGCACCGTTCTTTCCCATCCTGTCTCGCTCTCTTCTCAGCCAGCCTCTTGCCCTACCAAACCCAAGGCTGGGTGGATGGAGGCACCTGCTCTGATCCATTTCCTCCTCCCAGCTCTGGTCAGCCCATGGTCTGCTCTGAGGAGTTTCATGAGATCGCCAGCAGCCTTGCAAGCCTTGTGTTTGGCTGCTGACTTCTTTTTCACCATTCCACTCTGCTGGCTGAGCAGCTGCAACGGTGGTTGACATCATCTTACCGCAGTGAACTTGCTGCCCACAGCCTGTGACAGGGCCTTCTACACCACCAAAGGGCTTGAGCTCCTTTATCTGACATGTGTATCGTGATATTTGTCACTTGTGACATGTCTGTTCCATGTTGTATGTGGAGCTGTGCATCCCCCTAATCATATTAATCCATGACATGGGATCGGTGATGCTGGACTGGCCTCATGGGTGGGCAGCACGCATACCAGCCAGCATAGCTTGAGCAGCCCATACCTACCACACTATTATTTACAGGAGCAACAGTGAAAAAGAAGTCACAGAACTAGTCGAGCTGTTCAATGTAAATGCTTTCTCCTCTCTGCAAGGCTGCTGAAAGAGAAGACTGTTTCCACTTTTGTCCAAGGAGATCGTGTTAATTTCCCCTTGTTCTGCTGCTATTTGATGGGAACACTCTTAGCAGCGACCTCCCATTACAAGACCTCCTTGCTGAGGGAAGTAAGCCCTACAACAGCACCAGAGAAGCAGCTTGAAATTAGGATACAGAAAACCCATGCCAAAAATATGTCAACTTGGAAGGTCATTAAGAATTATCCATTTGTGCATGTTCACATGCCAGCAGTACCTTAAGTGATTACCTTGGAGGGACAGATTTGTCTAATGAACATATGAATTAACAATACAAAATTGTGATTGATAAATCAAATAGGAATTTGCAATTTGGCAGTGAATCTAACTGGAGTGGAGTTTCACTGGATGTGGATGTGAGGTGCTGCTGCTCTGTGCTAAGAACAGCTCTCGGTGGGATTTTTCTGCTTTATGACAACCCAGCTTTAGGTGCCTGATCTGAACGCCAGCCTGCCTGTACTTTGGGCAGATACATCTTGTACTAAAGCTCTTGGCTCACAGCATGCAGTAGTTATTTTTTAAAGATCCCCACCCACACCTTTATTGATTTCATTTTTTAAGTTCAGATGAGAAATTAACGTTGACTGGCACAGGCATACAAATGCTCCATTTTTAAACTATGTAATAGTTGGTAGAATTCTGGTTAAGTGTTTATAAATTTAGGATCTTGGATAAAAGCAATTAAAGTTTAGCTCCGCTTTTCTAAACTGATGTAGCTCAGGAAGAAGTTTTGATTTTTTCCTCTGAATGTAAGTAGGTCCTCTCAGTAGTTTACTAGTAGAGTTGGTGGCGATTTCCTTCACAAAGATATTTAAAAGTCTTGAAGAGTAAGAAGTTTAGATTTAAAAAATGTCTTGTACAGGTAACTTTCTTTTTCCTTCCAAGTCTTTACACTCTGAGTGGATAAATCAAAGTGATACATACATTGTGTTTATAAATAAGCTGTTACTGGCAGATGTAAGTAACGTTACATTTACCAAAAGATTTTAGTGATTCCTTACAGTATCTCTGTCTTTTTGGCTTGAGTCACGCTGGGCGTGGGGCACTCCTAGCACAGAAGTGAGATCTGACAAAAACTCATTTGAGCTGCCAGCACCTAGCTCTTGTCAAACTGCACATTAAAGATCCCGACAATAGGAAAGTGTCAAAGGAGTTGTTGCATTTCATTGCTCCATGTGATTAATGCCTCCCCGTGTGTTAATGAACCGAAGAAAAATCTTAGGAACAAAATCATTTAGGATTTCTCCGACTTGATGTAGAGGGGAAATTTTACTCTGTTGAGTCTGTAATGCATTGAGTACCATGATTCTTGCAAATGCAAAATTGCTATAGTAAAACCTGCTATTTGGTTGAAGCAGAAATTTCAAAGGATGTTTATGTTGGAAAACACTACAGAAATGGGTTTGGCAGTCACAAAATGGACAAAATCTGTTATCGCATCTCTGCCCACTGTGAGGCCAGACAGAAACAGTGCTGGCTGGGCACATGTGCTGGGAGACAGCCGCAACTCCCGCAGCTTCTCCTGGCCTTGCTCAAACCCAGCAGGACGTAGTGTTGTGGTTTGTTAGCATTACAGGATGTCCCCATGGCTGCAGACCAGGTCAGGGAGCTCTCTGCCACATAGAAGTGCCAGAGAATGTCACTTCTTGTCTTAATTTGCATGCCATATTTCAAATGAAATATGCCCAAACATAAAAAAAACCTGAAGGTAAATGTACTGATGTTTGCCACCAAAACTGAAAAAGAGAGCGTTAAGACTCATCAACAGATGTCCTTGTGGACTGCACGGATAGCATATGCTGCACTGTACAGAGTGCTCTGCGATGTGCAGGGTCATGAGGAAACTGAAAGGTAAAAGGAGCTCTGCAATGACACAGCCCAGTCTTGAAGGTCTTTCTGGAAGCCACAAAAGAAAAGCAGGTCAAAAAGGAAAGGCCAGCATTTCACCAGGTAATGCAGAATTTACCTTGTTGTCATCTTAGGGACTGATTAATTCCATGAGGAAGTGCTTTGAAGGTGCTGGTAGCAGCTCATCATGCAGTTGTCTCATTAAGCAATGGGTGCAATGGGAGGTAGCAGGACCAAACAGTGGGCAGCCCCTTAGAGCAAGAAGAAACAGCTGTTATGGCTGTGTTAGTGTGGTCGACACACACAGGAAGATGCTGGTTAAACAGATGACATCCATAAGCTATATGTAATTCACAAAACCTACTTTCATGGCCAAGTTTATCAATGGTTTCCCACAGACATACTGCGTAAGATGCAGTTTTGTCCCTGCAGTTGTCCCCAGACTCTGCAGGAGCTGGCTGGTGCAGCAAGAGTGCTGAAAGGGCACTGCTAGGGAATTGCAAGGGCAGTGGGGACTTTACAGGCGCTGGTTTGAGGAGCAGCACGGCTCCCTGCAGCTCACTGCCCCTCTCTCACCCCCTCAAGCCATGCCCCCATTCCCTCTCACGTGGTGAAGATCGGGACTGTGCCCTCAGCGTGCAGGCAAGAAGCAAGTGTGTGAGTGTGGAGCAGCAGCCCTGGGAGGAGTGGGCGCAGGGAGGCGGGGGGGCGGGCTGCAGCCCCCAGCTCCACCAGTGCCAGGGAGGCTGCAGAGCAAAGTATGACACAACCCCTCAGATATTCAGGGAGGGGGTGTGTTATTTTAATATCCTTTTTTGTGCTTAATAGAAAAGGGGTTTGTGGTTAATTCTTTATTATCTCCGACAGCAGTTCTCGCTTCGGCTCCTCTTTCTTTAACTGCCAAGCTAGCATTTTCCTTTTTTATTGCTCCTTTCTAAGAGGTTTGCTTTGGACTATTGCCAGTTATCATTTCCCATTAGGGCAAATATTGCATCAAACTCATGATTAGAGATTTGAGGGCTTGGGAATATTATTTTTTTGAACATTTGTATTTCATTTTCTGAGTGTCTTTCCCCTCCCCTCTTTGCACACATATATACACACACATGCCTGTGTATTTGTGGATGTACATATGTGTGTATATATTTATAGAGAGGGAGAAGGAAAACTGCAGGTGTCTGTAGGCACATGTATGTTTGTGTGTAGACACGTGCACATTTGTGTGTAATGCTGGAATCCCCTTGTTAGGACCAAGAACTCTAAGGATGCTCAAGATTACCCAAGAAGAGATTTGTCAGTGTGCTCCAGCTCTGTGGCAAGAGAAGGTAACGTGCACTGCCATGAGGGAGAGGACACCCCAGTGAGGAGCTGCCACAAGTACTGTCAGCCCAACAGAGAGGGCAGCAATGCCTGTGCTCGAGCCCACCACCACTGTGCCACATGCACTGCTGGGGGCTTCCAGGTGATGGATTTGGACTCAGTTGACTGTTTCATTCCCTTGCTGCCAAACTTCAGACACTGCTGCCATGTTCAAAAACCTTTCCAGATGCTACCTTCTGCTGCCAGCTCGCCAAGCCCAAAGCCCAATTTTGGTAAAATCCACTGGCTGGAGAAACAACCAGCAGGAAATTTTGTACTGCAGGCACAAAGTAACATGGGTGATACTCAGGGCACGTGGTGGCCTGGGCACTGGCATAGCCTGCAGAGGCCACAGGGTGAGGTGAGCTGGGCATCACCAACCCACACCAAGAGCCACCAGGTTCCTGAACACACACACATTTCCAGGCAGTCAATTTGTCTGCCTCCAAAAAAAAAAAAAAAAAATTATTCTTCAAGGCTTGTTCCCATCTGCCAGAAGAAAACATGTCATTTAAGAAAACAACTAACGCTGACAGACAGGAGTGCATTCTGGAGATAAAGCCCTCCGCTTTTACCTGATTCAGGCAACGGCACTGAGTGGCGAGATGGCTGTGCCATCCACATGCCTTATTCACAAGCAGCTTTTAATCTTCCTTCTCCCTGGCAGGCTGACAAATATTTTTCCCTTTACTCACTGTTCACCCTTTTATTCTTCCGACAAATACCGCACTTACTGCATTTAAATTTTGCAAAACTGAGTCCAGGCGAAGTGAGTCAGTCTTTGTGCAGATGAAAGGCAACGTCACCTCTTTTCTTGCTGGTACTACAGTGGCTGCAAGTTAAAATCACTGCACGATGGTGTTGGCAATTCTTGCCAATGACAAACCTGACTGCGTGTTTCCAGCCTGGTCCTGCTGCTTCTGCCCTCCCTTCCAAAAAACAAAGCCATGGTCCCCACATGGGGAAGATTGCTGTCGAGAGAAGGTGCAGCAAGCTCTCAGCTATTTCAGAAATCTTAAAGTGATTAAGGCAAGCGGATGGTTAATTAGAATATTCTAAAAACACAGCTGCTAAAAAAAGTTTCAAACAGCCACCAACTTGTTATTATTTTGTCATCATCTCATGACATGCTTGTGACATATGGGAGAACGAAGGGCTGCAGTCCCCTTCCCCGCAGCCGCGCTGTCCCGCAGCTTTCTGCAGGGCTTTGCTGGTAGTGCCTGGCTGCACCCGCGGTGAGGAGAACTCAGGTTGCGTGTGCCTCAACCCCTCAACCTGGGCTGAATGGCAAATCCTAATAACAGTGGTAATAATAGTAAGAATTACATATTCACACAGGCTCACAGTGTTGCAGCAGTGAAGCAGCTTTCTCCAGCTCTGTGCCAGCTCAGATGAAATGTGCGCTTCCCTTCTGGTCCTGGAAGAATATACCTGCTCCTCCACTCATGGGGTTTTCCCAGCACTTCCCCTGGAAGAATAATCCAAATAGCCTTATTATTTCAATATCTCATCTAATATCTGTACAACACAGGCCAGCTTAACTTTATATTGCTGCTTTTTATAGAGTAGCGTTTATTTCTTGTACCAACTCTCAAGGATGTTTTATCTGTTTTATATCCCATTGAATCCTCTGTGAAACTGCACTAGTTTACAATAATTTTATTACTTTATTAATTAAACGTTTTCCAACAAGCTAGCTATGGCATTTCTTATCATCAAGGGTTCCATTAGTTTTTAATGGTGTGAGACAAAATTACCATTTACCCACATGCAATTTAAGAAGCATCATTAACACAGAGAAAGCACCAGGTGGGATTTCTAATAGTTACTGTTTCTCATTTTTGTTTTTATTTAAAAGGAATAACTGGTTTTGAGGTTTTTGCTGCAAGGTTGCCAAATCTCCTCTTTGTTTTTATGTTTGAGATAATTTAAAATAATGTTCCCCTGTCTCCTAAGGCTCGGCTCAACGATATCTCACTTATCAGCACATCGCTTTGCGCAGTGTCTCGGCACAGCCGGGTGAGTGTGTTGTCTGCACAGCAATCACCCAGAACAAAGACTTCTCTGCACGGACCGTAGGCAGGCATGTGTGTGTGTGCTTGTGCACACTTGTGCACACTCACACTGGTGCAGAGCGTGCGCCCGGTGAACCGGTCTGCGGAGTCGGGTGAGTCCCAGGCCACAGCCTGATGCCACCTCGTGTGGCTGGGCCCTGGAGGGGGCGGTCATGGTTTTGGAGGGCCTGTTCCCAGCACGGGGGGAGGTTCTGGTAGTGGTCACAGCACTGCACAGGGGCAACCTGCAGAGTTCAAGGTTTTGGGAAACTTTGCGGCAGGCCCTCTGTGCAGATATTGTCTTTCCGTGCAGGAGACAATGGAAAAAACATGGTAGTGGTAAATATTTACCTTAGACAAAATGGGAATAATTAAAAGGCAACTTAATTACTATATTCAATTATGCTGAGCATTGACTAATTGCTGACTCAGTCCATTTGCATGTTAACAAATGCCTGTGTTTGAGGTCCTGCTCGGATAATTCTCTGGGTTCAACATCACGGAGCTGCCACGCTTGTTCCTCTTGTTAACTCACTGCCTTTGCTTAGCTCTGCCATTCCCAATGCCACGACGTTGGCCACCTCACCCCCCTTCTCAGAGGCCCTGTCACACGTTGCAGTTACTCTATGGGACACGAGGCTCCGTTCCTGCCTGTCCCACACGGGCATCGGGGCACCGCGGTGGACCATGTCGTGCTGAGCAGGGCCCAGATGGTGCATGATCCCACGGAGTGCGCAGGAGGGATATTCAGAGGGATGTGTTTGACAAGGTGTTTCCTTATTTAAAGGGGAGGGGAGGAGGAGGCAGATGGCATGGCTGCTTCTAATGACATTCCCTGGCTGGGTTTGTGAGCGGCAGACAGGAGAAGGGCAGGAGCACCTGACGCCGGTCTGCTGGGCTGCCACAGGGATGGGGATGCTGGCAGAGATGCCCGCTGCCGGCCCTTGGCCCTTCCACCTGACTGTTTGATTTCCTGTGCAGGAATCATAGCATCACAGGGCTGTTCAAGTTGGAAGGGACCCCAAAATGTCATTAGTTCCCCTGCAATGAACAGGGACAGCTATGCTAGATCAGGGTGCTCAGAGCCCTGTCCAGCCTGACCTTGAATGTCTCCAAGAATGGGGCATCCATCACCTCCCTGGATAACCTGTTACAATGCCTTACCACCTGATAGCATCATGTATATATTCATTTATATCTTCAACATTACAGAAATTACACAGATAGCATTATTCTACATTATTCCCCACCCCCCAACTGATTCGTGCCAGTGTGTGGGGGCACAAACCAGGTGCTCCCCTAGGAGGTTTTTCAGTGTGCTACAATCCACAGCACTCTGATGTTTTTACACTCAGGAGCATCTATTAAAACAGAAGCAAAATTCACATTTTCTAAATGGGCAGATAATTGTTCCATGACGAAGAGTGCAAACACGTTTGCAGCAATGGCCTCTGTCTCAAACGCATACTAAACTGAACTTCTGGCCATATAAATTTCTAATTAATTTGCCTGTGCAAGCCATGGAAGAAAAACTCTGATTGTATAGCAGAGCAAGAGGGGCACAGACACCCACCCCAGCATTGTGCTCACACGGAGAGAGGCACGATGGGCACTGCTAGGGCTGCAGAGGTGGCAGTGGCCGTGCCGGGCTGTGGCTGCCCATTATGTTAATGGCTCAATCATTATTTATTCCTCTGGAATTCATTATGGTGGCATTATTTGGGATTGGCTCATTGAGCGGCATCGGTGCGTCCGTAGGATTTTTTGCACAGCCTCATTAATAATGAACAATCCTGCCTCAAAGCACTGCAGTGCCCTGGATTTTAAGGCAGCTTTAGGGCTGGCTGGGCTGCAGCAAAGCACTCCAAGAGCAGGCGGTTTGCACAGTGACCGCTCCACACTGGGGTTCATTCTGACTACTTTTCTTTCACGACAGCAGCTCTGAGACGACTCCTCTACCAAAAGCAAAGTTCGGCTTTACCTCTGTCTATAACAAGAAAATCCTCCAACAATATTTTTGGAGAATCCCCAGGTTTTGCTAATTAATATTATCATTGGGTACTGTAAAATTGTTCATGAGAAGAAAATCCTGACTGGCAGAAACCTTATTCTATTTAAAATTAACTATTTTGTTTGAACATCATACTTCTTTAGAATCACATTTTTTTACCCAGAGTTCTCAGGAACAATTAAAAAGTAATTATATTTTGAAAGCACTGATTTGTTTCCCTTTTCTCTCTTTCTTTCCTTCCCAGTACAAGAAATGCGACAATACCCAGAGGAATACAGTGACATCAGCTCTGAACATCACACTGCCCACACCAGAGGTCAGCAGGTGCAGCCCTGCAACGTGGCAGCGGCTTCCCCTCTCTGTATTCAGCAAATTCTTTGCTGCAAAAATTGCAGTTAAGCAGTAGATATGTCGAATCACAGCAGCCCCTAATGGGGCCCATGAAGGATGTGCTCCTAAGGGCAGGGCCTCCTGTCATGGCTGTACTGCTCCCAGGCCTGGCTTCTGGCATCAGCCCTTCATGGAGAATGGCTCTTCGGCAGAAGCTGAAGCTGTAAGGCTACAAAAGCCTTTGCATGGGCTGGAGAGCACAAGAGAGTAAGTTAGGAAGTGGCTGCTGACTTTTGGCCACACAATGACTCTTTGCAGCTCTAGTCCACTTCAGACATCCCTGCAAGGATGCATAAGACAGTGGTGGTGAAAAGGATGGGTCCTGGAGCCCATCACCCTGATTTCCAGAGCCAGAAGGAATTAAAGCCACCAGAGCTGATGCCTACAGGGCATTGTTACAGAGTAACATGAAATAAATCATTGGCAGTGGCACTTGGGTTTGAGCCCTGCCGCAGAGCCTTGGGTTAGAGGGCATCCTTCTTTGGCTGACTTTCTCCTGTCCTCTGTCAACCAAGAGTGACAGCACTCACCTTGCAGGGACATTACAAAGCCAAATGCATGCTCCTGTGCTCCATGACCCATGTCCCCAAACCCCAGAGTGGAAAGCCCTGACCATGCCCTGTGGGGTGCCACACTTCCTGAGGATATGGCTGATGTCAGCTGCTCCTGGGGGTTTCTCCAGTGCAGCCACGGCCTTTCTGATTAAACCTATTCTAAGTAAACATCAACAAATTACTCCGGCTGGCATATAAAACTACACAACACACTTAGGCTTGAGTGGAGACACATCAAAAGATGGCCTTCCTTGTGTGCCAATATACTTATATCCACACATGTATAGGTGTGTATGTGACCATACTGCAGAGCTGCACAAAGTTGGCTCGCGTGGGGACCATCCACCTCTGTTCCTCTGTGCCGTCACCGCAGTGAAACCCACATCAAACAGGGAACTGGAGACTGCGCTTCTTCCCATCAAAGTCAGCTTAATTTTAGAGCAAGTACTGTCACAGGAAGCACCGCCAGAGCTGCCTCGCACAACTCCGGGCAGAATCTCTCATAAAACAATTATATTTTTTCTGGATGTAGTGAAAGCCTTGAAAAAAGTTTACTTGATGTCTAACCAAGCAATGCTGCATCTTCAAATTTGAAGGAGAGCTCAGAAAGTTAGTTTTTTATTATTCTTCATTTAAGTATTATTTTTTAATTGCAGCGTATTAAACATAAAATCTGGTACAATCTTTAAAAATAAATAGGACCTAACTATAAATGGGCCCTGTTGTGTTTTTATCTTTGACAAGCAAGTAATTGCTTCTCAAATTTATCAGTTTGTTTATGCAAAAACCATTTACCAAGCCTAGCTCAAAAGCATCAATTTCATCATTATCATCTTATTAATTTAGCCAAGCTATAACACAGCTGATTATTCCTGAGTAATATCCTCTGCAGCACATCATGTGTGGCAAAACCATCTGTACAGTACCTATTTAATAAATAAACCCTCGGCTAAATGTCTCTGTTTATTGAGAACTAATGTTTATAGAAAATATAATGGAACTCAATAAATAACTCAGCTTCATCAACCTGCATATGAATCAGTGCGAAGAACGCTGACATCATCACCTTTCAAGTACCAGAGAAAGCAAAATTACCCAAAAGAGCTATAGAGTCAATATTAAGGCATTAAAACTGCAATGAAGGCATATTAATGCTTAAAACTTCATTGTTGGCAGTAGAATTGCCACAACGGACATATTTTATAACTCTAAGAATACTTAGGCTTTATGACTGCTTCTTTGTTGAGTGCCTTGCACTTAATGTAGTTTTCCACTTTAAATAATAAAAAAAAACCCTCAAGATCTTAAAAAAAAAAAAAAAAAGAAAAAGAAAAAAAAAAGAAACAGAAAATTGCTGATTCCAGGCATTCATTTTTAAAATAATGCAAACTGCTGATTCCAATTGTTCGGATGGAGAGAGACACAAACTTATTTAACTCCATGCTTCCTGAGCCGTGCT